AGGTGGGATTGTGGCTGCTGTAGCCAGTTGCAGAACTTAGAGCGAATACAATCTTGGTCTCAAAGACCCAAGAGATCAGGATTCATGCAGCCTCTTCACAAGTTCACGTCGCCAAGCAGCTTCGTCACCTCATCACGACCACACTCCGTTTTCCACGAGCTTTTGGTGGTGGCTGGGTTCGCTCCGCCGCGTTCAAATACCCTCTCGTAAGTGTCATGTGTATACGCCATGGGACGTGGAAAGTGGCCGCCAATCTCGAGCACACGCAGTTAACGACGCCCTTGCTATTGTTTAGGTCGCGTGGGTGCTGGTGCATTGCGCTCCCCTGGCCTTGTTCTTGCCAGCGTGTCGCGATGAAATGATGAGAGACCGTAACGGCAACATAGGTCGAGTGAATGGATCCGCAGAGCTACTGAGATTTTCTGGTGAGTTCTTCTGGAAGGATGCGTCGCTTCTACTGCAGAGGCGTGTCTCTACCAAGAGCAACTATTGTATTCAAGCGATGCACGACGTTGCCGCCGCTAGGTTGAAGGTCATATATGTGAAAGACGTCTGCTACACGATCGCAAGAGCAGAGCTGGCGGGTGAAGCGATTGTAGTGCAGCGACTGAGATGCAGCAAGGAAAAGGCGGCGCGGGCACTGTGGTTGTTTAGGTAATCAAGGCACGTGCACCATGGGCGATTGGTAGCTCGATCAAAGCTCTGCCTCTCATTGGTCCTAAGCACTCACCAGACTCTCACCGAATTCTCACCGAACTCCCGACCACCACCTTGTCCCCGGGCCCTGAATAAGCAGTGGTAATCAAGGTAGAAAGTGCTCGCCGGCCTAGGTGCTGTGAGCCTTGACAACACCGAAACGTACTACTATTCTCGACTACGGCGTGCACTCGGTGTCCAGTGTTCGGAATGGCAAATTGTCAGATTGGCCAGCCACACGTGGCTACCGATCTTACCTTACCTAAGCACGATCACCGTTGTGGCGCGCACAAGCCATCTCAGTAAGCTTGGTGACCTGAAGCCCCGGCTGCAGGGCAGCGGAATTCTCGCCGCCGTGAGGTACTCCGTGAAAAGACCCAGGGACTGGATTCAAGAGCGCTTGCATGAGTTCGTCTGTTCAGTCCACCAGTCTTTCGCCTTGGTACTTGCTGCAGCGATGCAATGATAATGGCTGTGGCGGGATCTTGACAGCGATACGCATCTGCGTTGAGGCAGGGCGGCGCGTGGGCTGTTGGATTTGGCAATACTCAAGCGAGGAACCGATGCAAATCTCAACCTCGGCAGATCTTAGAAGACAGGACTTCGTTTGGATGCCATGGGGGTGTGGTGTGGCTGCTGTGTGGCTGGATATGGCTATCATTGGCTGAGCACTGAGTGTGAAGTGGGGGAGCCATAGGTCTAGCGGGTAGAACTTCGAGTCGTCCAAGGTCCGTCCAAAAGCAACCAGCACGCCAAAAAGCCCAGCACGTGCCCAGCTGTCGAAGCTTGCGCTAATAGGCAGCCCGTGCTGGTACTTATGTAATCACCACCTGGTACCCTTCAACCGCAATTGATCGAATCCGCGTGTAAATGAAATTTTGGGTCGCCTCATGTAAGCACACGCAGGCTGGTCCCCTCATTGCCTTGCGCGTCAGGGATAATGGTGTCCCACGTCCAAAAGTCGATTCGCGAGGCTATCCAAAAGGATTGGCTCGACATTGGACGATCTGGAAAGCTTTCATGTGTAGCCAACACATCTTGCTCCAGGCATCCGTCCATGTTCCGCTTCAGACACCTGTGATCCCTCGCGAAGCATGTTGCTACTTCTCACTGATTTCTTCTCCCTGTGGTATCCTGACCAGACGTTGATGCCACGATGAGCTGGTAGTTCACCTGGGTTTAGCATGAGACGTACTGACGTTCCCGTCACGCCGTCACATCACAACTTTCTCATTGAACGCATGGAACGCTTCTTGCCATGATTTTTGTCTTCGTGGGAATTTCCGCTTCGGCAAGTTGTAGACGAGCACATGGCAGCAAATCGAGCAGCGCCTCTTACCTAATCACCACCAGTTTCTCTATTTAAGTGTTGGGCATTGTCCTTTGCGAACACCACACGAATAGAACACTGGCCAAGTCTATTCATGCATTCATTTGACGCCAGCGTAGAACGGTTGTCACAGTCTTGGGTGGCATGACTGAGTGTAATTCACTGAGGGATTGAGGTGCGCATCGGAGAGCTGGCAGAGGGATCATTGGCCCAATCAATCGGCTAACCGGTCCTTTGTCATTCCTGTCATCCCGTGAATAGACAGCACGGCAAGGAAGTGATTAGTCATATAACGGGGTAGCTTCCTTGCACCTTAGACAGGATGGTTCTGGGAAAATCGCTTGGCGATATCGTCAAGTAGACCCTGCGCGTTTTGGCCAAAGTTTGGCATCAAAGCAGTCGTGGGCGAATCTTGGGGCAAATCCACTTAGCTTGCGGATGATGAGATGGCATGATGGAATGGGAAATATTGGTATTGGTGTGTTCGACAGGCGATAACAATCGAGGGCGATGAACGTCAGCTTCGGTCAGACTGGTGTGTTCATGTGACTCAGACTGTCAGATTGGCAGTCGACGCCATCAAGTCGCGCATATAAGGTCGTGCCTCGGGCGGGTGTAGTATGATGATGCTTTGCAGCCTCATTATTCCGGGACACGGTCGAACCGGCTGCGCCGACAGCGTAGAGAGCAAGAGGCGTTGTTGTGATGGCATGAATGGGCGGCATCGAAGACCAAAGGCGACTCGGGAACGACCATCGTGGTGGAAGGAACTGTCTCTGGTAGCCAGGTCAGTATGTCATTCTTGTCGAAAGGTCATCGTGGCGAGAAACGTGTAGAAAACCGGCCTTTCGTAGAAGTGTTGAGAAAATGTCGCATATCCAGATGAAAGATTCCAGCGTCGTTCCGTTCTTGGGAGAGACTATCGACGATCGTGGGTGTACTGCTACGAGATGCCATGCGATGACATGAAATGAAGGAAGTGGCATGGAAGCAAGACGATGAAGAGTGAAGTAGACCAAACTATCGAGAAATGGGGATCTGTGTAGAATGGTGGAGAGTTTCGACGGTCGTTGGAAGGTAGTAGCAGTAAGCGATTGGTAATGCAATGCGACTTTGAGTTGGCGGCGGTGACTTTTGCGCAGGACGTGGGTTACGTAAGGTATGCAGCCGACGGGAGGTAGCGTAAGATACCTCAGCTGTAAGTGCCAGCTTCGTTTTGGTGCCACTCAGCAGCTCGTCGGTGACAATAAAAGCAGGAGCAAAAGATGAATTGACACAGGAAGAAACGTAAGGCACAGCGGAAGTGAACCCTTTGCCTTGGAGGGGGGAAGTCTGAAGACAGGATAGAGAGCAAGAGGGAGGAGGAGAAGGGTGTGGAGAAAGGTAAGGTAGGTAAGGTGGGAAGGCACCCGCAACCACGAATTCCGTACCTCAATGTACCTTACCTCGCCTGGGAAACCCAAAGGCGCAGGTGCGGGCATGGACACGCAAGATATGAGCGGGCATATGCGTGCCTTCCACCATTGGTTCTTCAGGATCCAGCAGGTCGCGTCATTGTGGCTAAGCCCGCAGGAACATGTGACAATCAAGACACAATGAGGAAGGAAGGTGGTCACCCACTCAGGCAAGGTAAGTAAGTACCTACCTGAGTACCTTCCCGTGAGATGGCTGAGGTAACTCATGTGGCGGATTGGAGGACGGGACGTTGAATTTAGGTTGCCCCACACACACCCCCGTCTCCCATCGCCCGTCTCCCGCCTGCCCACATCAGGTCCTCCCGTCGTCTCTTCGCGTCTCAACCACATCATTCAACTGTTCTGTTTACTACCTCCCCTTGTCAACACAGTCAGTCGCCGCAGTCTATACTTCACTCCAGCCCTCTTTTTCCTTTCTTCTCCAATCGCCGCGACGGCTATATTGATGGTTGCTGGACCTCGTCATCGGGATTTGAGCATTTTCAGATCGCCCCTCCAGGACGCAAAGCCTCTTGCCATTCCAACCAGCGTTCCGACCGGCATCGTTAGTATTATCTGCCCGGTCTGAGCCCAGACGCTCCTCCGCCACTCTCCTCTAGACGTACCCACGTAGGCCACTGGTATTGCATCGTCCAAAACTGCCATACTTCCAATGACATGGATCAATTCGGCGCAGTGTCCCGGCCAAGTACACCGACTGGCTTTGGTTCCGAGGTTGACCTGCGACGGGCTTCCAATTATATTGGCTACCTACAAGTCCATGTTACGAGCGAGAATTAGCGGGTGGCCACCCACTAGAAACTTCACACTGAGCTAATTCTGCGGGGCGTTGCCGCCAAACTCCAAATTCAACCGTACATGGCGGCAGCCTTTGGAGTCGGCCAAATCCAACCGTGCACCCCGGCAGCTTTTGGAGCTGGCCAAGTTCAACCGTGTGCCCAGGAGCTTTTGGAGTCGGCAGCTCTTACAACTTCTGCCGTCCGCATCCTCCTTCCACCTTCTGCCTGGACATTGCCTCCACCATCCGCACCAGTCTTTTCCAGCGTTCCTTCCTCCACTTCACTTGCTTTGCGATTAATTGATTTGTCTCCCACCTTCCATACTTCCTTCCTACCTCTATTTCTTCCTACCTTCTTTCCTTCCGCCTTTTCCCTTCCGCCTTTTCCCTTCCGCCCTTTCCCTTCCGCCTTCCTTCCTAACTGACTTCTTCCCACTTCACTTCTTTCTATTCTACTTCTTTCAACTTGACTTCCGCCTCCCTTCCTTGGACGTTTCTTCCTTCTTCTCGCTCTCCTTCCTTCCTCTCAAATCCTTTCCCTTTCCTAGACGCTTCTTCTTCCTCACACTCTATTTCTTCTCCTCCATCTCTTTTGACTTCCTTATGAGCTTCACGACCTCATCCCCCATCCCTCGCGCGCCCCTTCGTTTCTAAACAAGATCATTTCGCCTTTTCGGCATTCGTCAGTCAATCAATCTTTTCTATTCAATGAACCACCGGTATGACAAACACCAACGATACAGACCTCCCCGCCGCCGACCGAGGCACTTCTGACACGCCACCCCTTCTTAGAACACTCAATGAGCTCAACAATATCCAGATTGCTGAGATTGAGCAGCATGTTGACCGCTTATGGCACGACCTACAGGCCAACTTCAACAACACCAATGACGCTACCATAACTGGGGACACCAAGTTCATTTTTTGGGCGTTCCAAAACGTCGATCGTCAAACACTCTGCCGAATACTTGACAAGAAGCACAAAGACGATCTCCAACTAATCACGACGGATATTCAACGTCGTCTGGCCAACCTGTGCCCGCACTGGGACGCTTCACCTGGCCTCTTTTTCGCTTGTTTTGGTCAGGAGATTACGAGATCTCGAAGGTGCATTGATCTTCTGAAAAAGTTACGAGGAACCTCCCCGCAGCTTTCCCTTGGCGACTTTATCGATTGTTTCAACCGCATACCAAAAAACAACGACCACCGATACGGCCTTCGCTCGGTAAAGAACCAAGTCAGCGTGTTTAAACTCGCCGTGGGAGAGTGTACGTCATTCGCACATCGCACTCCGACAGCTTTTGCTCACACTTTTGCTCTCTTTCCAGTTGAACCTACTCTCGTGATGCGTCAGCAACGGTACGCCAAAGATCGCCCGCCTCCCGAAAGCGATTCGAGTAGCAACAGCGGTGACTCGGACAATGACCTTGCCGACAACTCCAACCTAAACAAACACACATCCAACGATGGCGGCAAGAAGAAGCAAGACGCACGTCGGCCCCTTCCTGCTGGGCCCCCCTTCATCAACACCAGATCGACACGTGGGGAACGATCAAGTCCTTCATTGACACGAAAGCGATCTCCTGCAACCCAACACGTCGATGCAACCCCATCCCCAGAGCAATTCAGAAGGGAGCGCCAGGCTTCGAGTGTTGCACCAAAGGGACCTGTGCTTGTCTTTCAATCCAAAAATAATCTTGGACTCCACAATTCTTCTCTACAAGCGGGCCCATCTACACACGATGCTGATGATGGCGGTGACGATAACTCCCTTGTGCATCAGTCAATACCTCGGGCTGCATCTCTCCCTCAATTGACACCGTCGCCTTTTGGTCCACGGAATCAAGACACACCAATTCCTCCCCAACGCAAGCGTGCTCGACTCGGTGAAGCCAGGCACCGAGACTGGGATGTCAGCAACGGCAGTTTTGGCGATGTGAGTTTTCCACCTCTTGAAAGAGATGGAGCAGCAACTCCTATGATAGAGGAACCTACTTTTTTACCCCCTGCTCGATCAGATCTGCCCTCCAGTCCCGTCTTGATAACCATCAAAAGCGAAGAATCCCCTGTTTTGCCCCCCCTAAAAGCATCCCCAGCTGACGCTACAATTGAAGCCAATCTTGAAGGGAGGTCCTCAAGGCTCAAGTATCGCTGTTCCATCCCGAAGATCTCGGGCGATATGCACCGTCTTCTTCCAGGACAAAAGCTCAACGATACCATCATCAATGCCCTCCTCAATCGTTTGACCTCAGTCACTGGAAAGGTCTTGGCAATCGACAGTTTCGTCCTTGACTCGAAGAACATACCCGATCGTGTCTACAATGAGATCCAACATGGAGAGCAACACAAGTTACTCATGCCGGTGTGCAATGACGACCACTGGGTATTGTTCGTCTTTTTCTGCCAGGAACACAAGGTTCGCCTCTTCGATTCCTGTCCAGGTGTTCTGCCTGCCGAGAAAGTTTGCCGTGACGTGATCTTGCCGTTCCTCCGTCGGATTGGAGCGAGCGACGACGTTCAAGTTGACTTGGATGTGAGCGGAGTAAGTACCCTTTCAATCATGCTTGGACCCAATTGAGGTACTGACATACAACCAGTGTGCTCGCCAAAGTAACAACATCGATTGCGGACTCTTCACGCTGTTGTTTGCATATCAAATTTCGGGAACTGGGACAGGCATGCCGACAGATGTGACGTCGAAGACACTGGATGCGCACCGACTTCATTTCCTCCAGTGTTTGCTGACCTCCACAGAGGCTGCTCTCTCACCCAAGGAGGCTGGGTACCTTGACGAGCTCGGACAGACTACAAGTGATCGCTCGATAGCCCTGGCTCGATTGGCGCTTGAAGTATGGGACCGTCAATTTTGCTATCAATCCCTGCTCAAACCAAGCGACTTTTTCGATCAGTCAATGACGAGATTACGACAACTTCACCAAGCTGAGGCGCGTCGGTGGGAGACATTGTGCATAACATCAGCCCTCGGTCTGACTCACGTGAGCCATGGTAAACTCCTGCGAAATGCTGTTCAGATGGAGTGCGAAAGGCGCGAGAGGAGGAAAGAGATGGACAGACGTAATCATCTACAAGCTGCTGTCAGGAGCATTCTCATCAATATCCCCCTGGAACATCCGATTGGCTCTTCGGTTGCCCGTTCCAAGCCAGCGAGTAATCTCGAGCTCAGTGCCATGCTCAGCTTGCGATCCGCCACAGAAGTGGCGGCTGCCTTTCTCACGGAGGGCAATCTCAAGGCCAGCACGAATGATGACTACAACCCCTTTACGATATGCGTAGCATACATCGTCGTTGCCCGATTCATAAGACAAAGGCTATCGAGTATTGAACATGGGCTGGAGATTGAGATTGGGCGAGGCGTAGACAGGGACATTTTGGTGGTTACGGGACGATGAAGAATCGGTTTTATCCAGAGACAAGGCCTGAGGAATGGAGGCAATGATTGCAAAGTCACAATCCATAAGTTATTGTCGAGGTATCACTCGAGTCTGTGTTCATTATCCAGTGGGATCATTCTCGATGTGCATCCCGTCAGGAGTTGAGCCTTACATAGTGACAGGCACTGGTAAGAGGCAAGTCATCCTGTCTACCTTTTCGAGCAGCTACAAAGCGACTAGCACCTTGATGGCCTGTTTCCAATACTATCAGTTGCCCTTGAGAATAGTAGCCCACGATGTCTTCCCTCGTCAAGCCTCACCTTTCTGATTGAATAACATGTCCAGAGGTGGAATCGTGGTGGCCTGGCGCCTCGCTCCTATGTGGTCACATCTAATGCCAGCTCCAGAGTTGGCTCCCTGCCTTGCATACACCAAGAGTACATGTATATAAAAAAGAAAGAATCGGTTTTCTGAAGCTTCAGTACTTCACAAGCACCCTAGCGGGCCTTGATGGGTAGTGTGAAAATGTGCTGCTGTAGCCAGCCGACCAACGGACACCTCACCTCACAGTTTGGACATGTGCAATCACCTACATGCTGCAGGCATTCGCTAATTTTGCCCGCTCGAAGTCAGCGGTCAGCCTGAGGGCCACCTCCATGCGGCGATCCATTGAGTGGCACATGACGAAGCATCCAACGCTCGCCGATTCCACGCGTCGTTCATGAAAGAAAATTACCGCTTCTTTCATATAAGCTCTATCGACGGTTCTCGAAGAGTCTCCTCATCTAGTCTACCCTGCCGAAAGGTCGTCGTGACATCTCTTTCATTCCGATACTTTCTCATCGATGTCAGGGAACAAGCACGTCCAAAACCGAGAAGGAACCGCGCCGTCTGGTCCAAGCTATGAGATACTGATAAAGTGGGCAATATCTTCTACCAACCAAGGCTTCACCGCTCGTCACGAAACATGGACCGTCGAATCAGTTGTCTCACATGTCATGACTCTAATTGCTGTTTTTTATTCGTAGTAGCTAGCCATCTTTACGAGACAAACAGCCCCGATGAGGTTGCCAACACAAGCTAGAGATGTTTCGTTTCAGACCCATTGTTCATCATCGCTGTAGAGGGCTGCTCTGTGTGAACTCTCGACATGTATTTACAATATAACAAGCAAGTCCAGCCCTGGGAGGCGGTCTACGTCTTCATCAGCCCTTCATCTTAAAGTATCAGTTGTTGCGTGCAATCAAAAGTATCAACGGGAGCACTTGGAGACGGCCAGTCTGAGACGTTCAGGAAACTGACCACAGCGGAGAGAGCTTAAATGTCCTGCAATCAGGACGGAGGATGACGGATGCTGACCACGAAGAAAACTAGTGGCAATACCTCACGGCCTGATGATCCGACAAGTGGCTCCTGTCTTGCTCATCTGGCCAGAAACCGGAGGTGGCCTGTAGTCTCGGATTTCGAATAGCGCAAAACAGCACATGAGCAACAGAGAAATCGGTTCTTCCGGAGGCATCCTCCGTTTCAGCGATCATTCGTCACCGAAAGCACAAAGTCAACTCTCACCTCAAATCCATATCAACAAATAGTCGTCAAGGAAAGTTCTACACTAAAGACAATGAGGTTATCATCCAGAGCAAGGCCCTCGTTCCTCAGTTCTCGGCTCAACTCAACCGTCGTAATGGCAAGTTCAAAACAATCAACACCCAAGACAAGTGAAGCCCTGTATCTGTCATGCATCTGGATATTGAAACCGAATAGGCCTATATCCTCATGACTACTCGAATTAATCTGAACTCAAGGAAATACGATCTAAAGAAGTTGATCATATGACTTCATCTCTGACCTTGGGGTCCCGTCTCGTAGTCTTAATCTACCTAGTATCTGAGCCCGTTGCAGCTTCATCCCGGGCCCGGCATCGTTTCGGACTACGTGGGCGGCGCAGTTTGTTCCCTGCGCCCTGTTGATGGTCGGTTTGCTGTTTCTTCCCGAGTCCTCACGCTGGCTGTTGTCGAAGACAGAACGAACGAGGCACTTATTGTACTCGCCAACGTCCAACCCGGGGGGAGTATCGATGATCCTGCGGTCTTGGCCGACTCGGAAGAAATCCAAAACACCTTGCACGTCGAACGCGAGGTAGGGCGCGGATGGCGCAAGTTTGTCAGTAGTGGCATATGGAGGCCGACACTTGTTGGTTCCATGGTTCAAGCCTGGCAGCAAATGGCAGGAGCGGTAAGTACTCATTACTCCATGTCCACTGTATCTTGACAGATAGCATGGCGTTCCGGCGCCCATGCGACATCGTGGGTCCGATGAGAAGAAGAACGAGACTTCCTACCATGTTTTGGTGTTGATTTCTACACCACGGGGTACTCAAGATTGAGTCAGAACGTTATATCATACTACGTCGTCTATCTCTTCCAAATGGCCAACTTGACTGGCAACATCAACCTTATCGCATCAAGCATAATGTCCTTGTCAAAGTTGTTGGACGACCACCTCACGTCATCATCGCCTTCTCTTATTTTCTCATTATGGTGTGCTACTTTACTCTGGCGCCCGTGACGTGGGGTTTTTCTGCTGAAGTCTGGTCGTTGGGAACAAGAGCAACAGGGATGGGCATTACGACTATTGGTGCCTGGATCTTCAACTTCGCCCTACTAACCCTAAGAGTGACGACGGTATCATGTATCTGTCAACCGCAAGTACCCGCCTCTGATCAGCAGTTCAAAGACCGTCAATCACAACACCTCTAGCCATTCACGCTGCGGCGGCACTTATCAGCATTATGAAGGGCGGCATGGGGAGGGACTCGTAGGGCCCGGACTCGGACAGCATTGTGGCTACCTTGTAAGTTTGTTACGCGTGTGAAACCTCTTCCTCTTTATTTCAGGTCTGATCTGCACATCCGGATGTCTACTCACGCTGCGGGGAGCGATAGTAACGGTGTAGACCTCTACGCCCGAAGATGCTATTTCCGACCGCGAGACTACGAGGGTCTTAAACTTACCAAATAAAGCACAGCTGTCTGCTTAGCGGACTACGGGCGATTATCTACCTCGGCTTGCCCTCACAACTGCCGGGTTCCGGGGCAACCTATCACCTTGTTCGTGGAGTTTTTTGATGTAGATCCCATCGAGTATTGCTTTCATACGAGGATTTCACATACCAGACAAACGATCGCAGGTTTAAATTTGCAGCCTTCTCACACAAGGAGCAATTCAGAGGGTAGTACCCTACTAGTTGCGACACGTATCAAACCCCACTACTTTGAAAGAAGCGGTACTTGGTGCTCCGTTCGCAGCAGATTCACTTTGGGTACTCTCTGGCTGCCATTTCAAGTGTGCAATCTTGTGCCTGGGCATCGCCATGGGAATCGTGGATAAGTAGCAGGGAATAAAAAGGGTGTATGGGAATTGCGCACAGGAGACTATCAGTGAGAACACGGAAACAGCTCAACATGAAACTTCTCGAATGAGGAAAACTATCGCGAATGTCAATACAAATCCAAATGTGAGCTATTGTATCTTATACAGGACTTATATGCCGTCCTCAAGTCCAATCATTCTGCAGGACTCCTCCCACAATATGTTTGCTCCTTGTTCATCAAAAGCCCATGATGCGTATCCCATATCGGTCTGAGAAGATGGATCAATCGCCAGACCTTGCTCCACACAATCAGCAAGATAACACCCTCCCCTCCCTTCCCATTCAGCACCGACCGCCGCCAGCACACTTGTTGCAGCTCCCTGGGCCGCGTTCTTCAGATACCGAATCTCTTCCCAGTCCCCTTCAGGCATCTTGAGCGGGTCATCTTCCATGTGCCGGGAAATCATGGTTAACACGCTGCCTGGATGCACAGAAATGGCATGCAGTCCCTTATCCACGATCCGACGCTCAATCTCGTTGGCCAAGTAAACGTTGGCCGTTTTAGATCTTGCGTAGGCTTTGAGCTTGTGATATGGTAGGTTGTCGTAGTTGAAGTCGTTGAAATCGATCGGGCCGAGTCGATGAAGGGACGAAGTGACGGAGACGACGCGAGAGTTGAAGGAAGGTGATGAAGAGGCCAGTAGTGCTGGCTGTAGTAGCCTAAAGAGAAGAAAATGACCAAGATGGTTCGTCGCGAGATGTGTCTCGAACCCGTCGATGGTGCTACCCTTGGGGCACGCCATGACTCCTGCGTTGAGGACAAGTATGTTGATTTTGTTGTTGTTCTTTGCGAGAAAGGTTTGCGCCGCGTTACGCACAGAGGCGAGGGAGTCAAGAGACAACTCAAGAAGTTGAATTGGTGCACCGATGTCTGTAGGTGAAGTCGCGATGATATCCTTCACAGCCTCTTCGCCACATTTGAGGTCTCTGACACCCAGGTAGACTGTTGCGCCGGCTGCGTGTAGAGCCCGCGCTGTTTCGAGGCCAATGCCCCTGTTCGCTCCTGTCACAAGTGCGGTCTTTCCAGACAGCCCATCACCAGCAAGGCCTTCGTCTTCGATGATTTGCAAGGCGACGGGTCGTGAATCTCCCGGACCCTGGGGATTTTGGTGTGCTGCGATGTATCTAGCCATGTCTTTTAAATGGGGTTTTAAAGGTGCAGCATTGGTAAAGAACAGATGGTACTTATCGATTTGTGGCGTTCCGAAAGCTTTTAGACAGACATCACCCTCGTTATTAGTTGAGATACAGACGTTCCTGTCCTGCCCGATTTGGCGATTCTCTCACGCGCTTTTCAGGCAGCAGTGCAGGGGTTGGCAACCCTCAACAAGCTGATGGGCGGATTCTTTTCCGAGGAAACTCTCACATTCCCTAATACATGAACTCAGAGCCGTGATTCTATTGGCTCGGGATCAGAATAGTGCGGTGTGGACAGTAAGCTGTGGATGGCCAGTTCGGATTGAAGCCAATGAATATGATCAAACCTTCAAGTTCTCCAAGCAGGGATCCGCGAATCTAGACTTCGTAGTATGTATGGGCGTTCAAACCTGTGCAAACGTGAGCGACATCCCTGTAACTCCGCATGCGGCTTCTCCAAGAATTCGCCTATAGTCTGAACTCCGAGTCGGAGCGTACTGATAGGGTCGCGGTGAATGAGACGAAAGCGGCCGCATCCGAACTCTTCGCATTCAGGCCACTGTCATGCCTTCTAAATCGAAGCATACTTTTACTCCGCACACGATATCTTTCTCATGCTTACTTAATGTCGACTCCAACGGTAGGATAAACATCATTTCTCATAGCCAAGGAACGCTTTCATCAGCGGCTCCGCTGAGCCCAAGACCGCTATTCCCTGGTCCGCTTTCATACGCAGGGCCTTTCAACGAGCCACGGTATCGCTTATGGCGACTTCCCCTAATTAGACTATAATGATTACAAGAATCTTATTTCACGACTAGTAGAGTATTGGCAATGGTAAGGAAGCTATTTGGTTCCTCCTACAATTCGAACATGAACATTATGTTAGCGGGCTCTTTCGAAATATCGACAAAGCGCCCGCTTGGTTTACCGATTTCTTCAACTTTGTAGAAGTCTAGAGAGATATCAGTCACTGGGGAAAGTCTCGATTGCGCCAATCCATATGCCGTGGTTTATTTTCCTCGGCCAACTTAGGATGGAGAAGACCCAGGGGCATTGCCCAGAGAATGGCGGCCTTTGTCGCAAATGCTATGGGTATGTCCCCGACTGTCAAGGTTTGGCCATCCAATTTTCTACGGTGCTCAGTATGATCCGGAGAGGCATGAGCGTTGACTGGGGCAAGACTGACGATACAGAAGTCACTGACCGTATATCAAGGGCAAACTTAAGTTTGAGAACAACGCGAACAATATTATTAGAGATACAGCACCAGAAGTCATCATCGTCAGGCCCTTTTACTATTTAATATTTGGAAAGCTGCCTTGAAAACGATGTACGAAAAAGATCCGCCAAGATTCGAGTCACTATTCTCATCAGCAGACTCTAGAGCATTCTAATTGTAAGGTCGAGATGTCCGGCGTATGAGAGTATTCACCAGTCCTGTGGACGACATGCCGTGGGAACATTTATTGCCGTTGACCTCTGGGCAATTGACAGAAAAGCTGAGTATGGAAGTCGACCTGGGCCATAAAAACGGCCCTTCCATTTACAGGCCACTGCTGGATAATTATGCGCTCTGCCTGCTTCCTCCTTCTGCCACCTCTATATCCAACATTCAATACCGCTTTATTAACCTTTCGTGCCAACTGTACGGTTTCCCTACTGACGTGTCCTATCAAAAGTTTTGGAACGTTCATAATAGGGCCAACCATACGCGCATCGAGCCTGGCGACTACTGGAGTGGATGACTTAATTGTATTGGGGGCAAACCAAACGAGTGCGTCACAGCAATAAGTTTGACAAAATAGACTACCCAGAAGTCTAACTTGGACACTGTGTTACCGGGCACTGGATAGAAAGTTCAAATCGAACAGAATCAAAAGTGAAAAGGTGATTTTCGTATGCAGGAGTGCAGGCAGTGCTGTTGTAGCTGGCTTTGTTCCCTGGTTGAATCTTGAGATAGACGCAACATGATACTGCAACGCCCAGAAGCTGTTCATGAACCGGGGATATCTGTATGAGCACTTCACCCCGCGCGTCTGTAACTCGCAAGACCGTTTGTTACTGACTTGCTGTAAGTTAGTGGAGTGGACTCACTGCTATACCATTTAGTGATGTGGAATTTTGTGCGCGCCGTTGGTGGTGTCGCTGGTAGTCGACTTGACAGACATGACTGTCGAAGTGGTGCTAGCAGCTATTTCCAATCAATTTGATCTTATCGTAGGCCTGAAAACAGAATCCGAAATCCCTTCGTGCTGAAAGTGAATGGTGGTGGTGCGATCGATTCCATGTCTAAGAGGAATCTGTCAGGTACTTACTTTTACACGACGGCAAGCATCCCGCAGGAAAGATTGGCCGACGATCTCATGCTTGGTTGCGCCCAAGAGAGGTCTTCAACGATGGTTCAGAGGAGAGCCAGCAAGTGCTGCATATTCCTTTTGGGTTTTGCCTCGATTGCTGGTAACAGACCGTTTGGCTTCAAAGTGAAGGTCGACCCAGAGGACGAGTGTGGGCCAACTACTAGGCAACAAGCTCTGAGTTAAGATGAGGAAGGCATATCTATCTCCTGGACAGGAACCTCGGTATTTAATAAACATATTGTCTTCTGCCGGGGGGGGGGGGGGGGGGGGGCGGAGGGGGGGTGGGGTGTGTAGAGCCGATCAAACAAGGGGTATTGGTGGAGAAGGGATGCATATGGTAATCTGTGGTGCAGAGAGTGTTGGTTGTTAGGCTGTGGTGGGGGTGGGGGGGGGGGGGGGGGGGGGGGGGGGGGGGGGACCAAGGTGTGGGGGATCGACAGGAACAAGTCAGGATCTCGTGAAGTGGAAAGACTGATGATAGATGTACTAAAATATCGGAGCATCAGACTCTCGCATTGAGACTATTCGCTCAAGCTGATTCCGACGACTCACTGTTTGACTTATGGCGTCCAAGGAGATGCGCGAGGACATTCTTCTAGATAAGGCTTTTTGGATGACTTTGACGGTAAGCGAAGAGGGGAAGAAGTTCTGCTGCCTGCCGCATGTTGAGAGAGGAGCTCGGCCAGACGATAAGATCTGGTTGAGAATATTGGCGATTGGGCATATGGCTACTGCGGAACGAAGGATGGGAGTATAGAAACTTCGTAGTCTACTCAACGAGTTACGATGAATCACAACAAGAGCGTAAGAACTAGTCTTTAATTAATATTGAACAAACGCGAAGGCTTGCCTTCTGGGGTCAAGTAACGTAAGGTAGTTGAATTTGGATCAAAGGACAAGACTATAATCGCCTTTACTGTGCACTATTTGCAATCTCTACCAAAACCCTTCCACCAATAAAATCTTGTAGCTTCGGGAGAGCAGAAGCGTATCGTGCAGCAACCATCAGCATCGCAGCATACGTATCCTCAGCTTCGTTTGTTACCCAGCGCGTAATCCAATCATTCCCTTGGTCACCTGGTGTCTTATGTCCTCGGATTGCCTCAGACCAGAGTTGTCCCTCTCCCGGGCGATGTCCCTGTTTTCTGACAGTGTAGCTGCGCCCTTGATGGAAGTCAACATGTTGCTTGAAGAAGCGATGCCACGCCCAGTGATGGCCGCTCCAATCCGCGACGTACTCGTCCCCGAAAACACATAGCCTGACCAGGCTCTTCAGAGGTGAGATGGCCGCAATGATGGCTTCATGAGAGAGTAGACTCGAGCTGTCCCACGTGTTACGCTCGCATCCGGTACGGTCGTCGGCGGGCTGGAACCCAAAGGACAGCTCCTCGAGGGTGGTGAGATGCGTTCCGATGGCCTGGAGAACAACAAAGTCTGGGTCATACGGCCACGAAAAGCACAAGGACCTGAGGTTGCGGAAGTTGTGGGTTGCAAAGTGAGTAGCCAACTGTTCCGGGTTTCCCTGGAGGTAGACGAAAACCTCCTCGATCTGCGGGGCGTAGCGGCCAGCTAGAGTCAACACCGTGTCGACGTAGGCCGGCACCTCGTTTTTGGATATGGCAGCTGAGACGCCGCTTACAGCGAATGTGCGGAGGTTGGGGAGCGGGAACTTTTCTACCAGTCCGTTGGCCAATATCAAGGATGACACGTGAGCTGAGGGTGAGAAGTTCTCGAGCAGAGGAGCGGCCAGAAAGCTCTCGAGAACACTTGGTTGTATGCCCTCATCCGGCGTGAGGGAGCACCAGAACTTCCGTAATTGGTTGAAAGTAATGGGGCCATCCCGGAAGAACAGCAGGGAAGTTGTACCGTCGTCGTCTTCAGGAGCCATTTCACCTTTGAATTGAGCATTCCAGACGAAGGACTCGAGTGTGAGCGCAGAACGGCGGAGAATGTTCTCGGCCAGGTATGTAGTGCAGCCGTCTAGAGCACCTGTGATTGATGTATGATTCTCGTCGTATCCGAACGACAGCGAGCGTACGGACAATGAAGGAGTCGCAGGCATAGACGGCGCAACATCATAAATTTCTTCGAAGAGGAACTTGTAGTCGGCGAAGTGAAGCTCACTCAGGCATCCAGGGAGATAAGGACATGCCTTTTGTAATATAACTCGGAGCAGACGTGGTTGCACTTCGAGCCCTCCTGTATCCATCCAAAACACCCGCTCAAGATTAGGCATAGCGGACCTGGATTCCAGGACCTGGGTCAAATCATCGATCAAACCCTGCCAGTACTCGCGCCACTGTTCGTATTCGTCATCCGTGGCGCACCCGTAGTCGAGACATAGGTCCTCGTCAACTGTGATGGTGAGGGAACGGATGAATGTCCCGATAGCTGGCCCTTCATCTTCGGTCTCTCGCTTGATATGGCGGAGAAACTCCCAGGATGTCTCACTCCGAGTAATCCAGACGTCAGAAAATTGATGTGGTCGAGCAAGTTGCCGGCACTCGCGATGAGCCAGAGCGAAGGAGGACAAGAAATGGCCTCTTTCTTGGTCGGCGATGAACTCGGTGATTCGCCACAGTAACTCATCTGGCAGATTGAGAAGGCGACTTGAGTCTCTTTTGCAATGAGAGAAGACGCGGAATGCTGGTCGTACTCTGGTGCGCATCTGCTCATGTCGAGGATCCTGCGAGAAGGTATTTGGTGAGGCCAATCGTATTATGGATTTGCGGTCAGTCATTTTGAACTCGGCAAGGTGAGTACAATGAATGTAACGAGGATGGAGATGGTAATGAGAGAAGGGAAGACGGAAGGATGACATCCGGCTTAAGAACCTATTTATTCTATCGTTAAGGAGGCAATTCTACTGGACGACGCCACACCTGAGCGATCTGGAAATTCTCCACATTCGCTTTGCCTGGGACTACGACTTGGGAACACAACTACATGAGACTGTAACGTAACACGCCCGCTTAGTGTCACCTATAATACGATCCTACTAGTAGCAACTTTTCAGATCATCCACTAAACTCTTCGAGACAAGATGTTGAGCCGTGTCAACATCATTCACATCCCAGTCATCCATCCATTCAATCATCTCTAGTGCAGCACCAGTTCCCTCCTGACGCAGCTTTTCTCTATCAATCTCCTTATAGTTAGATACTCCCCCGTTGTTCTCAGGCTTAATCTTCTTCAGGTAGAGATCGACGCGGTATTTCTCGCCGGCATCATTCTTTTTCCCTCGAAACCTGTCGTAAAAAGCTTCATACTTAGCATTCTTGTAGCCGGCCGTCCGCATCGCCGCCATATCTTCGACCGCAATCTTGGCAGCGTCCATCAATCCATTCGCTTCCTTCTTGCGATCAGCATCGAGAACATCGATTTTCTTCTTGACACTGTTGACCCAGGCTTGTGTCTTCTGGTAGAGCTCCTTGTATGGCTCAGCCGATTTCTCGGAGACGGAGGGCATGAGATCACGGATGTTGACCTGTTTCCTCGCGTTCTGCTGATGAGGCGGTTTCACTAACTGTGTGACGAGTTTTCTCATTTCCTTTATATCTGTGCTTGGTTCATCGAACTTCAAATCGTTTTTGCCGGTCTTGGTTATGATGTGATCAACAAACTCCGTGAGCGTTAGCACGTCACCTCGAGAGATTTGTGAAATCGAAATATACCTTTTTGAAATCACAGTTCTCACAATTCGGAGCAAACGTCCTCTCACCGCCAACGATTTCTTCGATCTTGTAGTTAAAATAGAAGTAGAACTTTTCCACGATGTGAATTCTTGCCGAGTCGCTCTTGACGCTACCGCCTAGTGCAGCAAACAGCAGCACGAGCAAGTAGATGGTCTTCATATCCGGAACAACAATGCATACAGAGTTTGCAACTGGTGACAATTGGAGAAAATTAATGGAAGAACCGGGTAAGGAACAGCTTCATTTTGTATCAGATCGGTTGGCTTGAAGCAAGGTAAAGATGCCAGTTAAACCTCTTCTGTCTCAAGCAATGGAAGCAGAGTGAGACCACTGTACAGTTGCGTAGCATAATAGACGAAGATGTTTAACTGACTCAAGAACACAGGTATTACTTTTCCGTTGCCCGAAGAAGGGCAATGTGGTGCACCCGTGTTTGGTGCATCCTGTAGGTAGGCACCCGTGAAAGGCTTACGCCTGGTGATCTTGGACATCCTCACACGAAGAACTCAATGTTAGAGGTAGTTGCCCGTCTCCGCCTTCAGTTTGTATGTCTGGGTTCAAAGTCTTGTGAGGTTATTGCCAAATCTGGAAAAGCATGAAGAGGCAGTTCACAAGTAGAATATCACCAGTCGTACGTGACTCAGCTCCAGACAATCTCACACGGCATGGTGGCATTGGTAAGCTTACGTCTCAGTCTGCGTTCAATTGCTTGGTCTTTTTGGACATCATGTGAGTCTGCCTAGGGACACAATGGCGTACGAGGCGAGAGTTGTTGGACACCGACATTGGTGAAAGCTGAAGCTGTAGCATCAAATTGCAAGCATCTCGATCAACTGCCGACCATATAGCGCATCCACATCCAGAGAGGTATTGTTTTTCTACCTGATATATTGCTCAGTTTGGCATATCGAAACAGCCGGTATGCTTTGGAATCTCCCCTTTCTCTCCATTACAAGTAGCGATAGAAATTCTCACTTCTTTGCAACCCGACCTCTTCTTGATTACCCAAAAGCTGTATCATAATCATGATCAACTTCATCCTAGCTCTTTGGAGCCTCGCGATTACGCAAAGGGCGACAGCTTGGGATACTTCTCAGATAGAGAATTACGCCGACTCGATAAAGACTGTTGACTACAACTCTCGCTCGCGCTGGGACGTTTTGCATCCCAGCACCTTCGACAGCCTCTTGGACACTTGGAAAAGACAACAGAAGGTCTTTGCGTCTGCCAAGGCGTCACGCTGCCCATCCCTTTGCAGCGATGTCGGCCCCTACCCTGAAAAGTGGGCAGTTTATGCCGACCTCGATCGCCTGAAGGCTTGCAACGAAACGGTGTTATTCGGCGTCAACATCTTCAACAATCTTCCTGATGGTGTCGCCAGGACCAGCATCAGGGTATGCACAGCAGACGTTGATAGGTCGCCGCCTTCATCTAGAAGAGATGGTAATGCTTCGCCTGAGAGCCGTCCATCGAACGAGCAACTCGTCACTTCTGCCATCCGTCTAGCCTTGGGCGGTAAAAAGGCCGAGGCATATTTGACGGATGATGTGATGGCCGCCGGCCGGCAGATTATCAACTATGTCAACAACAAACCCACAGTCAACGGAAACCAACCCACTCTCGCACTTGTCTCGGTTCGCGACAATGTTATGATGGGAGTTTACACAGGACACCGGGCCCGCCAGCAAGGTATTCATGAAACACTGCTCGAGAAGGTCCTCGCCGAGGTCCAGCAGAACGGGACCTCCGATTCCATCCTCATGGAGCTTTGCGACAACGACTCTAAGCGCGGCGCTGATTACATTGTGGGAGTTGCAGCTAGCACTGTGGGCAACTTCTCGTTTGTGCAAGAGGCTGCGATCACATGGGCCTATGGGAAATGTATGACAGACGATATTGCGATGACAGTCCTGCCAAAGGTATACTCCGGAGTCACATGGAACGTTCTCAACGTCTCTCCCAACTTTACCTCGTCCGTCAACAAGAAGGAAATGACTCGAGACACCCCCAAAGTAAGGCATGATGGAACCTGTATCACTCGGCAGGCTGTCTCTGGAGATTCGTGCGCATCTCTGGCAGCCAAGTGCGGCATCTCGCCTGCGGATTTCACCAAGTATAATAGCTACGACAAATCCCTTTGCTCCAAACTGGTGCCAGGACAACATGTTTGTTGTAGTAAAGGTGCATATGCCCCGTTCTTTTGTTTTATGTCGTACTCCATCACTAATGGTTTGGAGGGCGTCTTCCCGATTTGAGGCCTAAACCTGGCAAAGATGGTGTCTGCCACGTTTATACGACGAATGGAGGGGACACATGCTCGACCATTGCCGCAGCGCATGGTCTGGAGGCGTCCGACATCGAAAAGTTCAACAAAAAGACTTGGAACTTCCCTGGTTGCAAGAATCTCTGGGCCCATATCAAAATCTGCCTCAGCAAGGGTGATCCTCCGATGCCTGCAGAGATAGCTGTAAGTCTTCAGAGTCAATCTACCAGAACCGCGTACGCGTGAGATGTTCGCTCAACTGACTGCGTTGATGACAGAGTGCCAAGTGTGGACCAGTAGTAAGAGTTCTCCCCGGGTTTCCCACCTTATCCTATTATAGAGATGCATTCCACGTCTCCTATAGTTTACAATTACGGCCTCTGTTCATGCTTAATTGCTTCCTTCAGATGGGTAGACGCTGATCAGTCTCAGGTACCGGGTACAAAAAGACCCAAACGAGGCACCGACCTGGCCGACTTGAACCCATGTCCCCTCAATGCCTGTTGTAATATTTGGGGCAACTGCGGCGTGACTGCCGAATTCTGCACCGAATCGGGGTCCGAGTCCGGAGCCCCGGGGACAGCTGCTCCAGGGGAGAACGGGTGTGAGTTGAACTCTTCTCTCCTGACTCATTGCCAGCTCTCCAGCTTGTCGGCGGGAAAACCACACGTAACTAATGCAGAACTGACAACGGGCTAGGTATCTCTAATTGCGGAGTCGAAATCGTCAAGAGCGATGCTCCTGAGAAGCCGATACGGATCGGTTACTTCGAGGCATGGAATGCTAAAAGACCTTGCCTCAACATGCGTGCCGATCAAATATCTACGGACGAGTACACCCATATTCATTTTGCATTTCCCAACGTGACGGAAGACTTCAAAATCAACGTCTCCAATATTCAGAAAGAATTCGATCGATTCAAGAAGCTTACGGGGGTGAAGAGGGTTGTCTCTTTAGGTGGATGGGCTTTCAGCAACGACGCAGCCACGGTCCATATTCTGCGAAACGCTGTTCTCCTACAAAATCAAGTCACCTTTCAAAGAAACATCGTCGACTTCCTTGAAGAGCACGAACTTGACGGTATTGATCTCGATTGGGAGTATCCGGAGGTCAGATCCGTTTGCCGTTTTCTCTTTGGATACGTCACTGACAGGTAGTAGGCTATGGATATCGACGGAACTCCGCCTGGGAGTGAACTTGAAGGAGACCTCCTAGCTGTTTTCATAAAACGGCTAAGGAAATCCATGCCAGAAGGCAAAAGCATTTCCTTCGCGGCGCCATCATCATACTGGTATCTCCGAGCATACCCCATAGAGGTCATGGCACCGTTCGTCAACTATGTGGTGTACATGACCTACGATCTCCACGGTCAATGGGACCATGGAAATGCCTTCACCTCCCCCGGATGCCCTTCTGGAAACTGCCTTCGATCCCACATCAATATGACAGAGACCATAACGGCTTTGTCTATGTTAACCAAGGCCGGGATGCCCTCCAACAAGATCGCGGTGGGCATAACAAGCTACGGACGGTCCTTTCATATGGCGGAGAAGAACTGCTATTCGGAGTGGTGTCTCTTCACGGGCACGAGGGTCAAGTCCGAGGCGACCCCCGGAATTTGCACCGGCGAGCCGGGCTATATCGCAAACGCCGAGATCGAAGAGATGAGGGAACACTACTTGACCCACATCAAGTCCGACCTATTGGCGGACATCATCGTTTACAACGATACCGAGTATGTTTCTTACATGACGGATGAGCACAAGACCGCACGCAAGGCGCTTTACGATATGTGGCATATGGCTGGCACTAGCGACTGGGCAGTCGATCTTCAGTCATATTCTTACGACGACTATTATAACGAAGACTACGTATCCGAGCCTCTCGCGAAATGTGACGGCACCTACGACAATATCGACGACGTTCACAACGACAAGGGCAACATCCCGAACCACTGCATCAACAAATACGTCATCGGGGCGCTGGGCAAGATGCTCAAGAAGGCCGTCGGTGAGTACAGCGAAATCATGGACGACGACTACGACAAGAAGTTTGAATACTTCGCAGACGCTTTACGGCAGCAGTGGAGGTCTGGCATGTCAAACCTCTTCTCGAAACATCTTGACGAGCACTTTGATTGTTTCCGGAAGCAGGGCGGTGGCCTCGTCGACCATGCGTGCCCGCCTTTCGACAAATCCCCCGGGCTATCAACCAAGATCGTGCTCAAGGTCAAGGACGAGGACAAGCTCAAGAAGTTCATCCTAGAGGAATATACCATTGACTGGGACAACATTGAGTTTGTCGAAATCTCGTTAGAGGATAACGGGAGCGGCCACGGCTGCAATCTTGGCCCATGCGGCATGTATTTCATCGCGGGCGTGCCGCGTCTGAAAAGGAACGCCGACGTCCCGAATCCCAAATCCTCCGTCGCGGAGTCCATCTCAAACCTCCGTAAGCTTCCAGACGTCCTCTTGAACACAGCCAAAGACATCAACGATCTCCCTGCCGACTCCTCCCCCGAAGACGTCATCGACGGGGCCATGCTGCCGGTGTTCATGGTCATGACAGCGACGGAGGCAATGAACCAAGTTGCCGACATCGGGGAGGAGCTGGAGGAGGCCGAGCGCAAGTGGATCATTGGCATGATCGTCACGGCGATCCTCTTCGTCATCCCAGCCATCGGTAGCGCGCTGACGGCGGTGACGGGAATCGCCATGATCGCCCGGGTCGCGACGCTGGCGGCGGAGGCCGGCAACGCGGTGTACGGCGCGATTGACATTGCGGAGAACCCGGAAAACGCCGTCGCAGGCATCTTCGGCATCGTTCTGGGTATCGCCGGCGTCGGATCCGCGGTCAAGGGGGTCTGGAAAGAGGCGGCGTTATTGCGGCGTGGCTTCAAGGCGGCTGACCTTGCGAGTCTGGGCGGCGGTGTGAAGAGCAAGGTTGACTTGGTGGACTCTATGGTCAAGGTATGTCGGATCAAGTCATGAACGGAGAATTCAGGCCGCGGCAAGGCGGGTAGGTTGATTGTGGCTTGGGCTGGGGTTTGGAAGCTCGAACAATGTCTGGGAGATACGATAGCCATCTAGATGACATGCCAAAGTTGGCACCAAATTGTTAGCTGACGGCCCCTAGAAGAGAAGAAGAAAGATAAGAGAATATGAGAAAAGAGAGAGTAGACCTTGACCACCAAGTTATCCGACGGGGAGCCAAGATGAGCCGAACTCTGGTCAACCCAAAGCCTGAACTGTCAGGCCATAAACCTCCATCAATCACTGGGCATGTAATGAGCGCAAAGGGCACACTTGGGTAGCCAAGTGAGCTGGCTGTTACGCAGCCAAGTAGCCCATGGTGACCCCTTATCTCAAGTGTGCCAGCTTCTCGCTTGCGGTCCGACATTTCTTAACGCGGTGCCTCGATTGAGGCTGGAAAGACGGCAAGAAACTCGGCAACACAATGCAAGGATTCATATATCAAGAGGGGCCAGCTTCAATTGGGCCAAGTAACGGCAGGGCATGCTCAATAGGCCTTAGCCTACGGCATAGAACTTGATGCTCCTCGGCAACCTCATCGTCTTGCATCGATGGGCATGCGAACTTCGATGTCTCTCGTTCCTAGATGAATGTCAGCCCCGACTTATCATGAGTTGTTACAACCACAAAAGCTTACATTGACTCGATTTCAATGCTGCGAAACTGACAATGACCTGGAATAGGAGAAAGTATTCGCATGGTCTGCAACCCGCAGGCTGCGGCATTAGATGAGAGTATCGCAACAGACGGTGATTTGTTCCTGATGACCAATCAATTCCAGTTCTTCGTCGAACAACATGCTGCATGTCTGTCCAAACTCAGAACGATGGCTTAGAAGCACGGCGAGAGAGTATGGGTGGTGATGTCCGTCAACTCCTGCGCTGCCTTCGAGCTTTAGGTTCCCGTGAGCTGTCGAACGTCACCCACAAGTCACGCTATTCTCGATACTTACGTTCTTACTGCGATTTGCGCCGTCTTACTCACCTGGCAATCGCCTCAACTCCAAACAGCAAACTTAGTCGGTTGTCCGGCGATAAAGGCGTTGAAATCTCTGGGCACTGCTGCTCATCATCTCCCACCACACCCGTCTGACCAAAACCGTTCGAATGGGAGACACCAATCGAGTGGAGCAAGGTGCCGTGATGGGGTTTGCCTCGTCAATCTCGAATGTTGGAGACCGCCTTGGGCGGGACGGACCTCGCGCTTGCCGGCCTCGTGTGTTAGTCTGGGGACTCCAGGCCAAGCGTGGACGGAGGAGTAGGCGCTCGTAAATTGAGAAAATCGTGACGATTTCCGGTGTATCTAATGGTCGTCTCGTCTCGTTTGTTGAGGTGGTAAATTTCTGCAATTGCGGATAACAAGGTGAGGGCGTGGCCATGTTGCGAGAGGTGCAGGAGCGAATGCACTGGGATGCGAACCTGCACGTGGAGAGACGGACCATGTTCCTGCCGTTTTGGTCGCCGGCAGTGCCTCCTCTTGCTCAACGTTTCGCCCCCGTCTCAAGCGGACGTTTCCTCTCTTAACAAAGTAGGTACCGTGTAGACACGAGCAGCATCTGGACGTACCTTACGGTTTAATTCACACCGAATAAACATCGTCTACCTGCATTACCTCACCTCAAGACACCTTACGTAAGAGAAGCAAGTTCTCCGTTCCCAGCTACCTGAGGTCCAAAGTCGGCACACACACAAATTCATTGAATCTCTCGAGAAACTGTCTGCAGCTAGAGTAAGACTTCAGTATTCCCGAAGAGCTTGTCTACAACTTTCTACTTGATCGTCCTCCATTCTTAAGACCGCGACCTGCCACTATGGCCTCAAATGAGCAGCAATGGGAACTCAGAGGCATTGTGTCTCACAGGCGTAAAGACCCTCTCAGCTCCCCTTCAGGCGACAACGCCGATCGTTTCGAGTTCGAAATCCTTTGGGAAACAGGGGAGAAGACCTGGGAGCCAGAGATCTCGGTGCAAGAGGACGCACCCAGCATGACTTTCGAGTATTGGGAGGGACTGGGAGGCCGGTCTCAGTTCATGGAGAACGCTGACTACTGGATTCCGCTAGCCATTGTCAGGCACCGCCTTCAAAAGGAATCCCCAAATGATGATGAGGAGTACTTTATCCAGTGGGTCGGAGCTCGCGATCGCATGTGGGAGAAGAAGACAAACGTGCCCCGATCATTGCAGCGACAGTACTAGGACACGATCGTTGCAAGAACAGGACTTACGCGCAAGCGGACACTGGAGAATCAAAGAGTCCGAGCATCTTTGAAAGCGACTCCTTCTGGAAGGCATCGCAAGTCAGCCAAGAGTGCCAGACGTCGCCGTCAGGCCGCTGAAGAAAACGACGTTTTTGTCGAGGACTACGCCGACGACGATGTCGATGACGACTATCAACCGTGAGCATCCGATATCATGCGTTCATTTGCATTAGTCACTAGAACTACGGAATGTTTTGTTCGCTATTCGAAGCCTGGGGTCGGTATTTCTCATAGATGACCCACCAGTAATGCAACCAATCGTCTTCTTGGTGCGATGCGGCTCAATGTAATCTAGGTGTCGCGTGTGTCTAGCCAAACATATGCCCGCCGTTGTATCATCCATAGTTGCACATCCGTGGAAACTTCATCTTGCTGTTAATCAATGTTATTCCCTTCTGAATGTCCTTCGCTGATGTGACTTTGACAATAATCATGGCGAGTGTCTGGAACGAACAGCAAAACTAGCTGAGTTAAGGTGCAGCTCAGAGCGAGTACATCTCCAGTCTGTTAGCGAGCGGCATCTGGTGCCGCAATAGGTCCTTCATTATTATAGCTGCGGCTTGATCAATTATCGCATTTCAAAACCTCTGCAACCAGTGCCTGGCATGCCTCTCATCAGACCGGGCGCCGAGACTACCGCAAGAACACCACGTTCCAGATCTAGCTGGTCCAGAGGAGACACCCAGAGCCATCATTCAAGACGTCACTTAGCAATATATCACTCACCGACCAGAATGTGCAGGTCATATGTAATGGGGAGCGTCCGGATGTTGTTCAGATGGCACCGTCAAGGCACAAGTCAAGTGCCAAGCAGGGAGTCATCGACATGATGAGCTTAGTTAAAGCATAGGGCACCCGCTTTCCGCAAGTAAAAGCAGCTTTTCAGACATAGTTAGAAGAGGGACAGCGGCGCTGACTGCGATCGTTCCGATGGGGTTATAATTAGTCCGCCGCAGAGGACCATTAGACCCTGTCAAGGATTGAGTTCGATTGGACTGAAAAAACGAGATCATCTTCATGTTTGGGCTTGAAAGTGAACCCAGAGGAACATTCCCGAATGGACATGCGGTGTGGTCTAATTTCGATCTCGATTAGGACTCCATTCGTCCATACATGTGGTTCGAGGAAATTGAAGGTATCGAAGCATGGAGATGCCCAAAAGACCATAGCAGCAGCTGTTAGGTCAGATTAATATAAGCATGTTCGACAAGACAACGAACAAATGGAAGCCAAAGACACAAAGTCATGAATAGGAGACGGTAAAAGCCATCTGTGCATCATTTCCTGTTCCCTTCCCTCTCATTATTAGTAAAATCTGGGAAGGATTATACGATCGTGGCCATTCTTATTGTCTAGACTACATATGACGTACCACACCTCTAGATCAAAGATGAACAGTGGACTAGCTACGTCACTTTCTTTTACATACAGGCATGAGCTTAGCGTTGTTTGACGATCTTGCTAGCTAATCCTCTCCATCGTGACCAAAAACAAAACAACATACAACACCAGGTATTCGCTGGTCGTCACCGACCCAACTACTAATCCGGCCCTCATTGGCTTATCTATGGGAGAGCGAACGGGATCCCGAGTTTTCCAATGGGTATGGTCGTATGTGCTAGAATTAGGGCATCGTGATATCCATGACGGCCACATAATAACGCCGAGCAGCGGTCCTCAAGCTGGTCTCTCGGCCGTTCGGCGGTATTGTCCACGTCGACTTCTGGGTGTTTGGCTTCGACGTCAAGTTTGGTGCTCCTCCTCGGGCTCCGCCGCCGGTTATGCTGGATCGCTTCTGGGCGGTGGTCATCAAGTCGTCCGGGTCAAGCTCGTCGTCGCTGCTGGCGGCTGCTGCCAGCGACGACAGTCCGCAGGACACGGCCGCCATCATTCTCACCTGCAAGTCGGGCCTCGAGCCGCCGCCGGGGACGACTACAAAGGACAAGGACCAAAGCACCTCCAAGTGGTTCGTAAAGGCGAATAAATTTTGTTTCTTGGCGACGTTCCAGCTTGCCATTACATCGGGGTCGCTGGTCGAGGAACGCATCGAGAAGAAAGAAGGCTGGGACACCACCCAGACGAGGGGAGCTGTGGCAGATATTGCGCCACAGTACCAAGAGGTATATTCGAAGCCTATGCAGCTGGTAGATAAGCTGCACTCGCATGTGGACATCCTCATTACCGCCCCACGAGCGAACGCTTTGGAAGACGACTCCATCCACATCATGAAGGAGTGGAAGGACCAAAAGTGGCGTATCACGCCGGTGATAACGCCAGTACCGACATCTGTTTGGGCCAAGTGTGAGTCTCTTTAATATTGCTATCACAAAGAGTGGAACATAAAATGCTAACATGAGTCTGCTAGATGATCGCAACGAGGACCCTGCTGTCGTTGGCAATAGAGTTCAAGGCCTCCTCGATGGCGACAGGCCCACAACGCCGCTCGTGACGGGCCTTTCCGTCAAGGCGCCCGAGCCAACCGAGGCTGACGACAAGGTGAACGGCTTTGACGTGATCAAAGACCGTATGCAAGACGTCTACGGCTATAGCGAGACGCGACCCATCTTCCCTGAGTCCTACGCGCATACCAATGGGGCATGGCTACCTCGGGGCCGCTCACGGGACTGGGTCAAGTTTAAACAGACTTGGGAGCGAGTGGGAGACGAGACGTCCAAGAATGTCGCGGATATATGGGCAAAGCGGCTAGGTTTTGGCGAGGCGACTGTCAAGAAGGATGACAAAGAGCCTCGCAAGTTCAGCCCGTTGGCGGGTGCCGCGCCAAGGCAGCTTCTGAAGCGATTCGACAAAATTGTTCCAGCACTGCCGTTAATTGCTGTCGGATCTCGAGTGGAAATGTAAGCAGAGGCTTCGTCAGTTTATTCTAACGCCCCCCTAGGATGCTCTTTAGATTACTAGATACATGTATTGATATCTCATGCCTGACCGTCTTTTACACTTCAGCCTATGAATAGATGGGCTTTATCTTCGTTGGAATTTTGATTAGAGCCTCATACGTGGGTACTACTATAGAATTGCTACTTTAAGGCTAATAAACGCCTACGTAAGTATAAAAAACGACGCTTTGAATTTGGGATCAGTTTGTTGAAAGATATGACTCAACAAGGCTTCTGGAGGTAACACTATTTCTGCTTTTAACATAGTTTACTAATCTAATGAGACTTAATAAGGAAAACCAACAGCGTCCTTAAGCCAGGGTCAGAGCCATATCAATATACTAAACTTCTAAATCCACAGAATAGGTAATTGCCCCGACCGAATCCGAGGCATGTCGTACCAAGAACCAAGGTCCTCAGCCCACTGCTTCCAACGGCATCGAGGCGGCAAGCGAGAAAGTCCATCTTGCTTCGCACCCTACTTGTCAACACGATGAAATTAGCGGCTCTGCTGGGATCACTGATCGATTTGGGCTGGACACAAACTATCGCGAGACTGTCCGACAGCTAGCGGCGTATGACGACGGGGTGATAGTGTTGTAGGTAAGCGAGATTCGTGCCAATGTCAACCGGCTTGTGGCGATAATTGTCCTTTGTCCAGTTCGATAGCTAGGTGCAATGGGTTCTGGTTTGGCGGATGGAGTGGATATGGCTCTGTTGATGCGGTCAGTGGATACAGGAGCTCTTGGTTGGGTTGGGCGAGAAGATGCTACGATGGGAGAAGGTAGTGATTTGCACGTCTTGAGCCTCTGCTGTGGGGGGATTTGCCTGTGTAATACCTACCTCATCAAAATCCGGCATTATTGGAAGGACTGTATAATTCGATGATGGTCATGGCTCTTCAAGAGGTATGGGCCCTACGAAATTGCTTTGCGCACCGCTCTACGTCGTCGGAGGAGAGACGGACCATCTAAGTAAGGGCTCTCCAATGGAAGTCCGGTAGGCACTTGTGCCTCGTATGGTAGAAGAAAGCTGGTCAATGATCCGGCACTTCGATGGGAAGTTTTGTGCAGCAACGGACACAGCAGCGGAGGCTTTTGAGTGGGGGGTCGAAGGCGGCTGGCACAGGTTCCTTCGGCCGTGCGCGCCCCCAATGCGATGGATGCGACAAGATAAGGTGCGATGTAAAGGTTGGAGATGGTGCATAAGAGGGTGTGGGGTGGGTAAGGTGAGTGTCACGTGAGTGGGTAAGGTGAGTTGAGTGGCTTTTGCGCCACTGCCCGCGGCCCGCGGAACGCACGTCCGTGCATATGTACCTCTCGCTGACTTTTAGGTGGGATGCCAGCGTGAATGGGAGCCATTTCCACCAGAATATCTTCATTTCTTCACACGTCCGATGTTCGAGAATTCCAAGAAAACTCTCATGACTGTGGAGTATTTCAGAAAACACATTCATTTTATTTTCAACATTTTCCGAGTACTTTGCTTCGTTTCAATACTCAGGTACCCAAGCACATTAATTTGATTGGCTGCCGCAAACAAGTGTGGGTTCCGCGGTACTAGGCAGGCGCTTATCTCACGGCGCTTATCTCAGACTTCCATTTGCGGCAGGCTCGTGGGCAAGGACTTTCCCTGCGGTATTGATTTGATGTGGGTATTCGTACTCCGTACCTTACCTACATTTGCGAAGTGGATCTGTGGGTGGTGACTTCTCACTTTGTGCATGGAAGTGCATTCAGATGCAGGTGTGCTCAAATTGGGTAGGTACCACCCCGAGCTACTGCCTACTTCAATATTCCACTTCAATATCATCAACGCGCACCCTCCCTTCCTCCCCTCCTCACTCCCTCCTTCCCATTTGCACATCAACCGACTGCTGACAATTCGTCTGAGCCACTGACCACTGAAAGAAACAGATGCGCGCGTTTGCTTTCTTCTCGACCTGTCGAGGCTTGACCTGTCGAACGTGACGCAAGGCTTCATCTCAACTCCACCACCACAACTTTATCCTCAACGTTGTCAAAGATCAATCATCATTGGTACAGCACGTTCACCTGAGTGATGCCACGGTCCTCGACGCAAGAAACCAATCATACCCTCGACCATCTCCTTTCTTCTCTCCGACTGGTTGTTAGCGAAGGACGCGAGCGTGCTGCTTCCGCATACGATAATCTTGTTGACGGATTCCGGACGTACGACCAGAAGCTGCCAAGAACGAGACGCCGAAGACCCTTCGCAGCGTGGATCAAGTCAAAGATCTCTCGCCAGGATCTCGACTCGGTACTTTTGGCCAAATTCGGGAGCCACTGGGCACACCTCGGAAAGACCAGTCACGAACAGACCTACCGGAAGACAGCAGCGACACATCTCGGCCTCGCGAATCCTCTTGACCTATATCTGTGGTTTGGCATACGAGCCGTCAGCTCCCGAGATTCGTAGAAGGGTTTCGCAGCGAGTGGCACGTCTGCAGAAGCCTTGTTTGACATGGTAATTGAAAACCGCCAGAAGGACGTCAAAGGCAAGATACAGCACTACCTGCTGCGAGAAATCCAGCCACGAGAGATTTCAGAAGCAAAGAAGCAACGTCAGTACTAACACAACCCACCTGCATCAGTCCCTTGTTTCTGACTTGCCCCAGTATCGCGCAATATGGCCAGCTCCTCAAATCAAGCTGGTAGCCAGGCTGTCCCGAAACCAGCTCTTTTACAAGCGACCAGCTCCATTCAGTACTTCCAGCAGACTTCCGAGTCTAACAACCGCCCGAGTCCCGCCACAGTGTCTTCCAGTGAAGTCGAGGAAGATTCTCGAGGTCCCCAAGATCAAGATACTTCCAAGGGTGGAGAGAGGCAACAGCCTGAGGACGCCGCATCTCTGAAATATGGAGTAAGCCTATCGGGCCAAGCAGTGCAGCAACAGGGAACAAAAACTGCAGCAAATCGTGGCCATTCACTTCATGACAGTGGGATTGGTGGCATGTTTCTCTGCAATGACAATTTCTATTCGAGTAACGATGAAGATGGAAGCAATGTGGGAGAACATGAGGCAATCGGCCCAATGGGTAACGAGATCGTCGAAGATAATCCTACCCCCGACTTCCAGGAATGCCGACAAATCGCAGAGGACGACCTAGGCGACTTGGACAAATCGAAGAACACCTCAGAGGCCGTTAGAGGCAAAGATCTGTCGACGGACGACCAGTTCCAAGCGTTTCAAGACTTTCTGCGTGACGGGTATCATGCCGTCAAGAATGCGATGGAGACAGATGTCGAATTGCAGGGCAGACAAGCTGCTGCTACAGAAGCAGCGGCCAAGGCTGGCACAGCGATTACAAGCATCAAAGAAGACATGATGAGTCGCCTCAAGGCCATTGAGGCATCGGCGTCCTCCAACGATCAGCTTTCCTCTGCGGCCTAGGAAGCCCAAGAGAGGTTGGGAAACGTGGCAGCACTGCTTGAGAACAGAATGGTCTCCGAAGTCAGTAAGAAGCGCGCGGCAACGGACGATCAGCATTCCTGGTGCGAAAAACGGCGCAGACTACGGGGAACCTTGGCTGATTTTGAGGCAAGTCGGGATAACAGCTCTCTGCGGGCGATTATCGGTTACGTTGAGGAGTGTGAGGGGGCATTGGGTGACACTAGATAGCAGGATTGAGAAGTCATGGTTGTGAATCTTCTGGTGGGATTGTGTCGGCGGTACACCGCTGACTACGGGATCGTTCTGGTTAATTTTGCTCAGAGCATAACTCTAGAGTAGCTCTGATTGATTATTCATGAGGTTGAGTCTTTTACATTCCTTTTGTGATGGAGTAGTGTCCCCTCTTTGTTCTCGTGACACTTTTCTGGCCTGGAAGCGTAGCGGGGTGGGGTCATATAGCAAATTCAGGCGCACCCTACTGGAAGCATGAATGTCTCGGCTGCGAGACCTCGTAGTGGCGCTATGATCAGATGAAAGAAGGTGCAAGACATTTTCTTCAAAGTGCAGGATATTATTTATGCTGCTATCGAATCTTCACAACAGTCAGGGACGTTATTCAGCAACCTACCTCCAGAGACGTGGATGGTGTTCATGATCTGACTTGGCTTGCCGGCTCAGGTTCAATGCTGACGCCCCCTGGCGGCAAGGAGTGAGCAGGGTGGCAATATAGTTGCCGAGTCGATACTCTGGCTTCGGCTCTCTGTTATCTCGAGAGCCCATCACCGGGCCAAACCTCCCTTGGTACTCGTGTCGAACGTCTTCGGTGGCGTCTCAGCGAGACAAACAGAGCCTGGCGCCTCGCGGTATCTTCTAGTCATGTTTCTATATGGAAGCAAGTGGGCTGCAGGTGCTCCACTGAACGGTAAAGTCGCGAATGCTGCAGGGAAGCCAGAAGCTGAACTGGAGGTAGACTGCATGTCTTCCGCGACAAGGCATTCGGTCCGCCACTCAGTCGCTTCGACCTTCCATCCTCCTAGAGCATCACTTGTCTCGATTGTCACTCCACACCTGACCTCAGCTCCATGCACCCAGGCTTCGTGGCTTCGGGAAAGCGATGCGCTGCTACCGCGGATGCCTATAGCCAGAATGATAGCGTCACTTCGAATATGCTGAAAGCAACGTGTCAACTGTGGGTCACGACGGCATGTCTGCTTGCTATGTCAATGGTCTCGAAGTCTGGGTCTAGAGCTTGGCGAGAGCTTGAATAATTTGGCTTACGGATGAGTCAATTAATAAGACTTCTTTATAGATTCCCGTTCATTACTACAAATACTTGCGGGTCAAGTTTCGTGAATGACTTTAGCGATAAGCTCTTTGGGCCTTCCCTCTATGCTGGTTTTCTTACGGATAGAATCTAGCTAAGATAAAGTCTGCCGGAGATGAAAAAAGACGATTGTTAAAGCGCGGAAATGAGGCCTGCATCACAATTCCGTGAGCTCTCATGCCTACCACTAGAGGCCATGTTGACATGAAGTAACATGCATCATCCAGACTGCCTTACCGAACGAGCTTATATTAAAGGTTCTTTTATTTAATACCGTCTGTTTCCGGGTCTTGGCCGCACTGCACATTTCTCCCGACTTTATGATTTTAAATCAACTCTTTTCATGTTTCATTGGAAATCCTTCCATGTCATTGATAGTCCCCGGTGATCTTGGCATTTCGTCGCGTTTGATGTTGGTTCAAATGATCTAGCACAACGTTCTTAGGTGGCTAGGGATGTTGGCTCTAGGGAAGGCTAGCCGCCCACGGTTTCTTCCTAGTGGACGGAGAGACGGTGAACGAATACTCCCTGACTCCAGCCTATAGCTGCGCACACTACATGACCAATCTCCAAGTCCTCCATGCTGGCCCTCACTCACTTCCTCCTATAGAATCTAGCTTCTTTTAATAGCAATGCTCAAGGACAGCTTCCGGGGCAGAACCTGACACGCGTCCAAAGACAAGCCGGTATCCTAGGCAGAAAGACTCACAGCCCCTTCATCTACATGGGCTGCCATTACGGCTTCAACTCGGACAGCGTTATGATACAAGCAGATACAGCAGAGCGCGCCTTCGTTCTCAACTGTCGTTCGTTGGGACTTCGTCTGCCTCGGTGACTTTGAGGAGTCAGAGAGCCGTTAGTAGAGAGCAGAATAGCCGAAAGACTGTTTAGGCGGCTAGTATATATGAAGCCACAGCTTAAGCTAGAGTAAGAGATAGGAAACACCGCATTCTATTGGATGCGAATGCCATGTATTTGGTCGAGAACATGCAGTGCTAAGCGAAAGTATGCAGATCCTTCTGTAGGAGCACTCAACTTCCTCGCATTTTTCGATTTATTCAATAATATCGCGCATCCCGTCTCGTCCCTGCAACCATCCGAACTGTATCACAATGACTAGTCCAAAAGTCCGCCTTGGCACCCCACGTCGTGGCATTGAAGCTTCGCAGAGCTGCTCCAGCCAAGAAGGAGCGCTAGACGCCCTTAACATCAGAGGGCTTCGCGACATTCAGGACTCGTCAAGCAGACCCGGATAATACTTTTCTCGGCCGAGCAAGACGGTCGCACAGATGCAGACGCAAGAGCAGGCAGTATGGAGATTTATAAAAGATGAAAATCTATTCCGAACCAGGTCTAAATCCCATTACGCCAAATGGTGCCTATAGAGGTATCATTAAGGTGTTCATAAACCAACAACGCCGCCTTATTGCTAGAAAATCTTAGCTCTATTGAAGAACGGATACCTAGTTCGAATATGCGGAGGATTTTGCTAACCCGGCAAAGCTATGCTTATTCTAATGAATTAAGTGAGAACATTTCAATCGTAGTCACTACTAAAGAGCCAGGTAACCAACATAGAAAGTCGAAAGTGATACTGCTGGCCGGCTTAAGCGTACTACCCGGTCAGCGGAACTCCGGAAATCTAGATGCGGAATTTCCGCCGCGGGTAAGCCTCGTTCGGCGTTTCAACGTCCGAATACTTTCACCTGAACGTTGCCTTGCACCTAATGTAGTTTGCCTCTTCTGCCTCATTATCTTATTGTGCAGGCGATTTATGTAGACCAGGCGGTCGCAGCTGTCCTGCAGGTCGGTGGGTCGCGCCACTGTGGCGCGACAGTTCATCTTTTCGAGTTGACTGATGGAAAGGTGGAAATCGGTGATTGTGGCGGTGCGGCACGTACTTTCTTGACACCTCGGTGAGCCCATTCCGAAGCAGAGGTCTGAGGTCTGAGATAATCTCTGCCCTTGTCTCTCTGATGAGCCTTGCTTCCAGCAATCGTTCAGTATTCCAAGACATCTACCTATGCTATGCTAAATGGAGCGCAGCGTCGGCCGACTTTGCCCCACGGGAATAAAGAAAGGTTTTGGGGTTGGGCTGTTGGCCGCTCGCAACGCACCAAGATACCCACGACCACCCACACAGCCGAACCCCGCCGCCCCCACAGCGATGCCCCGATATCCCAGGCAGAAGTGCAGAGCCCATGCGAGACGTACGACTAGACGAGTCACAGGGAAGTTAGTGCAGCGCTGTGCCGCGCTGCCACCGGCTACACTACCCAGGACCTCCTCCCAACGACGAAGTTTGTCCAACAAGGACGGTCAGCCGTTATCACTAGGGCTCGATTGAGCGCCTGCGTCTCTAGCGCCAACGAGGACGCAACTCACGAGAGCTGCTCTTCACCGCAGATCCGCATACGGGAACGCGAGCGTAGTGGTGGCATGTTCACGATGCGGGCATCGAGATATGCTATGAATTGCTGTCTCTTGGGTCTTTGGAAGTAGGCAATAACGGGGCTCGCGCGGGCGAGAGAGTGGATCTCGGTAATTATAAAACCGAGGCCACAAGCTGAATAAGCGGTGACTAAACCTTCTGGAAATGTCGGCTGGCTGAGTTGACTTGCATAGCATCAACGAAATGAAGAATCAATACGATCGTAAGATAGGACCGTGAAATCTGGTTGTGAAACATGTAGTTCGATCACGACTGTCTTCATAATTCAATTCCAGAAAAGTAATACTGGCTATCTTGTTAAGAATAAAAGGCAGCGAACGTTAAATGTACCTGGTGATTGAACATTTGATTCTGGTGCATCCTATCAAGTATAGACTGGCAAAGTTATTTATGTTTAGGGAAACCGACAGTGAAGCATACACAGCACTACCTACCTTTTCATAAACATATGTCTGGTTTGCGGTTCAGCAATCTCTGATATGGATTTCAGGGATAGAAGAAAAAGGCGGCTCTTGATTCTGGGCCGGCCCTGGCATGACTCACTGTACTAATCTGACCGACGAGTTGTAGAGTGAGATTTAGTATTTTTATCTAGTGGTCGACCTCTTGATATCATTTCATCGTCTCTTGTTTATTTATTTCTCTCCTTGTTGTTATACTTCTCGCAGCTTCTCTGACATAGCCTGTGACATACCCTTCAACCGATTATGTAAATCAGACGCCAAGGTGCACAACGACGACGCAGGCAACGGCGTGATCTCGATCTTGCCCTCAACCACTGAGTAATACGGAGGGCCTTGCGGTACTGTTGGCCGGCGTGCTTCGCTCGGAAAGGTCTTGGGCTCGACAAGCCGCTCGGATAGTCGAATGATCAGAGTCCTCAGACCTGCTAGTCTCGAAAGTACATAGTGGATGAAGATGCGCCGCTGGTCTTCATCCCCGGAGTCTTCGCCATCGTCGTCGTCGTCATCGTCATCAGGTGCATCATTCCACGAAGACTGCGGAGCAAGCTTGAACCGGAAGTTTTTGACGCCGCCGCCATCATCCTCGCTTGTAATGGCGTTCACGGCGTCGATGTAGCAAGCTTGGATCTTGAATATGACGAGCAAGAGCAGGAAAGTGTCATGAGAGCAAGGACACTGCAAGATCTTGTCGAGCCCGTCACTTATATTTCTGATACCTTTGCTGACGAGCTCGAGGCTTGTTGAGTGAGTATTGATTGTC